CCCCCGGCCCGGCGGGGTGGGGCCTCCCTGCGGAAGCCCAGGTGCCCGGGCTGTGCGGGCGGAGGGAGCGACGCTGACCCGCGTCCACGGGAGCGCCCGTCGCTCCCCCAGCTCGGCCAGGTCCGTGGGATCCGGCCGTGCACACAGGTAGCCCTCCCTTAGCGACTGGCCCCCGGACTCGGCGAAAGGCTGTGCTTCCGTCCGGAAGCCTGTGCGCGGCCACCCTTCCTCCTCCCGGACCCCGGAGCGGCCCTCGGCGGAGGCGCTGGCGCCTTTCCGTCCGCCCCACTGCGGGTCCGAGGCCCGGGCGCGGGGGTGGGCTGCGCTGTGGACTCGCCACCGCCTGGACGCCCGAGCCCCCCTCGGCTCCGCGCAGCGCGGGTGTCCGCCTCCCTCCCGGCCTCCCTCCCGGGCCTGGGCTGGGGCTGGGGGTGGGGTGGGGTGAGCGCTGGGGAGCGCAGCCAAAGGGGGAGGAACCCAGAGGAGACTTAGGGGAGCACAGTTTAGCAGAGTCCCTGAGCTGCTGGCTGGTCCCTCATCATTAGTGTGTCCCCCATGACTTGGCACGTGGGGCTTGTCTGTTAGGACTGGGAAAATAAGCGAAGAGTGACGTTGGACTGAAGTTTGACTGTGGGCCAGGATTTAAGCCTGTATCTACATTAACTCCCATACTTCTGCCCGCACTGCTACCGCACAAAGTAGGTGCGGTTATACCCACTGTGCAGGCGGGGGGAACCGCCTTGAAAGGGGAGGAGCTGGCGTCTGCTCGCAGGGTGAGGCCACCCAACCCGGGCCCTTCAGAGAGGGAAGGGGGACCCTGGAGCTCTGCCAGGTGCCTGCACTTGCAAAGGTCCCGCGAGCAGCCCCTCAGGCCCCACCCAAGGGCGGCTTCAGACCAGCAAACTCCCATCCCACCCCTGGCCCCTGTTGACTTGGCAGCCGGTTACATTCTGCCTCTAGGTTTGGTAGGGATGGCATTTGGAAGCTATTTCCCCCCCCCACGCCCCACCCCTGGACTCCAGGCGCTTTCTGCTTCTCGTCAGAGTATTTTCACCTGGCTTTTTGAAAAATGGGAGAAGTCCAGCGGTGACCCCTTAGGCTGCCGAATGAAAAACCCACAGAAGTAAAACAAATTAAAGCAGCTATGTAGTAAAGTTGTATAAAAGTGGCAAGGGCAGACCCCGGGCACGGAAGATAGATACACTTTGCAGAATGTACTAGAAGTAACTGCACACATGGTTGCAACTAGTCAGGGACACAGGATGCGGTCAGTATATAAAATCAAAGAAGAGGCAGGGAGAGAGGAGGAGGCCCCCTGATTCCCAGTGCATTTTGAGGCTTGTTCCCGTGGGAAGTCCTTGGTGAGGCATTGAGTGCTTCTGTCTCTTTGCAGATGGCTACCCTCCCTAAGAAGGAGTCCAGGGCACCTACCACCTGTCTGGGCCTGGACACTAACTATGGGGATGGCTTGGAAAGAGAACGCTCCAGAAAGCCAGACCACAAGCGGCCAGAGCACTATGGCGTGGGTGATCCCACCACCCCGTTCTCCTCTGATGGCTCCCACCTGTCCTCCCGGGGAAGAATCAGTAAATGGTTCTGGGACTCGGCTGAGGAGGGCTACAGGACCTACCACATGGATGAGTATGATGAGGACAAGAATCCCAATGTGAGTGAGCCCTCCTTCCCACTGGACTGCAGGGCGGGGATTACCCTACCCTGACCCACAGGGCAGCATCTAACTTGCTCTTGCCTGGTTAGACTTATGGTCCTCTGACCTCCAAGAGGGCTTCTGATACAGAACACATAGAGAGAATAGAATAACGAACCCCCAAATATCTATCACACAG